GTCAGCATTTAATTCTTCTATTCATAGGAAGAATGCTAGTAAACTCAGGGACTTTGGTGGTGAGATCAGAACAGATTTCTTGACTTCCCACTTCCTGGAAAAGTTCAGGGTCTGAACTGAAATCATAAAGGATTTCAAGGTGAAGTCTGAAACCCTTCAGCCTCGTGGTACCCACCTGCCCTGACACCCTGGTGCTCCGAGTGCTGCAGAACACCTCTGTGCTCTCCGGTTCACCCACCATCCCTGGAAGAGTGAATTTCTCTCAGAATACCCAGAAAAGGGGAAACTAACTCTAGATCCCTGGTGGTGACAAATAAGCATTTTCTTTTCTTCACCTTGACCTACTAACTTACAAGGATCGCTCTGTACCAGGGAAGAGGAAATAGAAGCTCACATGGCACTGGAGCTCCTGGTTGTGATTTTAGGCATAAAGGTGCTTCCTAGACTGAGAACACCTTGATAAAATGAGGCCAGAGTTTCTTTTACTCTTTACTTGATCATCTAATGGACTTCATTTTAACTCTCCCCCATCATTTTCTTCCTTAATTCTTTCTCCTGTTTTTCATTAAATACTAATGATTTAATATTCAGGTATATTCTATACTCTTCCTACTCCAAATGTGATCCTCTACCCGCAGTGACACCACCACTGGAAACTTGTTGGAAATGTGGTGTTAGGGGCCCCGTCCCAGAATCTGCACTTTAACAAGATCTCCAGGGCTCATACATTACAGTTTGGAAGGCACCAGACCTTGTAATATCCTTATCGCTCCAGAGAAAGAAGCCCAGGACAACCCTCAGGCTTAAATAAATTCTGTAGGAAAGTGGAGAGTTGAATAATTTGAGATTATTCAAAACTGGGGAAAAATCCAGGCTAATGGTCAAACTTTAAAATGAACACACGACGGCCCTGCTTCGGTGAGAAGCAGAGGTTTTTCAGTCTAGCAGTCTTCAGATGAAAACAGGTTCCCCAAGGCCGGAGCAGGGTAGGTGAGGACCCAGAGCCCAGGGCCTGTGCGAGCGCCCCAGCTCCGGTGTGCGGGGAGATGCGGAGAGGAAACACGCATGTTCTGTGGCTGGGGACCGGGTGACTGAGGCCGCCTGACCGCAGAGAGGCCAGAGAGGGGCAGGCAGAGCAGAGCCCTTCCTCGGCTTTGTGGAGCGCACAGAAAGCCGGTGGTGCCTGGCACATGTTTAACAGCCAGCTCTCCGGGGAGGAGGCCAGGGAGCAAGCCCAGATGCAGAGAACTTTGGCTGGTTTCGAACTACCAAGTTCATGTCACTGAAAGTGGAGTTGGAAAGAGAGGTAAGTAGTGGCTCGTCAACCAGGCACATAAATAAACTCAGGAACATAGTAAGTCATAATAAATTCAGAACCAATGAGTAGTTTTTATTTCCTTTGTTTTTAATATTGCAAATTTAATTATAAGTTTATATACTTAAATTCTTAATAACAGCTGTGTTTAGCAAGTAGGTTCAAGTATGCCTGACGTTCAGCTCTCATGAGGCAGTGTGAGCAGCTCTGGCAGATACCTAGAAAAAGGGCATTTTCTCAACTTTCATGGCAGTTATAGGATGTTTCAAAAGATACCTGCTCAACGCATTGGGCACCACTCCATCCATCCATCCATCCATCCATCCATCCATCCATCCATCCATCCATCCGTTCTAATGTCCTAGCAAAGCTCTGTTCGCAGGTTGCCTTAAAAGAAAAAATTGATCTGCAGTATGTTGCTCTCTCTGTTCATCTTACAAACCTTGATTAAACTTTCTTAAGAACATCTGACAGGTGTCCTCTGTGTTAGATTATTCTAGTTAAGAATTCTCTGGTTTCCAGTTGGAACATTTCATGTGAAATGTCACACCCATGAGTGAATACTTCAGAGATGTTTCCAAAACACCATTTCAGCCTTGTTTCAACTCTTCACTCACAAACCTTTTGTGCTTCTTGCTCAATGGTTATAAAGCTCCGACTGCAGTTTGATCTCGCGGTGCCTCTTCCTCGGTGTCAGCAAAAGGAAAATTGACAGGCAACACCAAACAAGCAATAAGGAGAGAGAGTGAGAGGAGTTTAAAAATTACAACGTCAATAACCGGCTTCCTGTAACGGAACTGGCCGTTCATTTCCTTAGGAAGGATCCAGGATTTTCACGTTTCCAAGAATCCTTGCGAGTATTTTCCTGGTGTGGTGGACACACGAGGGACTGAGTCAGTCCCTCTGGCTGCTCGTCCCCGATGCCTCATTAACTAGCACCCTCTCCCCCTGTCTAGGTCCCTCGAGCTCTTAGCCTGAGTTTGCAGCCTGTAAAATAAGGGGTTGCAAGATGACGTCTAAGATCCCGTTCAGCTAAGGTATCACTGATATACACTCTTATGAAGGCTTCACATGAGCAACACTGTGGTCACTGCACTCCCCGTATCACCAAGTCCCCACCCCGCGCCCCGTTACAGTCACTGCCCGTCAGCGTAGTAGGACGCTGTAGACTCACTGCGTGTCTGCTCTGTGCTGCACTGCCCTCCCCGTGCCCCCCGCGTCATGTGTGCTGATCGTAATGCCCCTAATCCCCTTCTCCCTCCCTCCCCACCTGTCCTCCCCACCCTCTTTGTTCAGCTTCTTTTTTAAAAAAAAAAAAACAAACCCAAAATAGAAAGTAACTGAAAATAGGGTAAAAAGGAAAAGACCCAGGAAAGAACCAGTTGCTCCGTGGAGCAGTCCTCCTGGTCCGCTGCTTCTGACGGATCCCACCTTTCCCAGGTGATTTTCTGAGACATGCACACCCATGCTCAGCCCTTAAGGCTCCTAAAATGCGTCTCCCATGAAAATGATTCGCGGAACCACTTCGCGGCTATTATAACCCTGAATGTCTGGTCCCCCTTCCCCCCGGCGGCCTCCGTGTGCACGATCGTCCCTCGGGGTCGCCCCGCGACAGCGCCGCCTGGGGCACCCCCTCCGCCCTCCTGGCCGCAAGCGCTGCTTCCGCGGGTTCGACCCCTGCGTCGGCTTCTCACGACCGCCTTCTCCTCGGTCCCCACCGAGTCCGAAGCACAAATGTCGGCAACTCCCGGGAGCGGCCAGGCAGCGGGGGTGGGGGCGCGACCCGGGGAGATCGCGGCGGGACGCGGGACCGCAGTGCTTTTAGAGCCACCCCGGCCCGGCAGTGGGCCCCCCGCTCCTCTCGGGGGGGCTGCGGCTCGCCTCCTAGACGCCTCCGGTCTCCCCGTTTCCAGGAACAGAAGTCCCGCCGCCGCGCGCGGGTCCCAGGGGCGCGTGACGCGGTTTATTGTGGCAACGGGTCCCGGCAGCTGCCCAGGTACCAGACGCGTCCTGCAGTGCGAGGGGGAGGCGGGGGG